GCACTACGCAGATAGACTGGAATTTTCTTAAAACACACCTCGAAAAGTCAGGGAAGTTCATTCATTCTCTTGTTTGAGTGGCAACTCTGTAATTATAAATACAGTCAAAAGTCGTTAATCCGGACTCGTCGGGACTTCGGCGATTCCAGATTATCGATTTTTCTGGATTATAGATCATCACTTTAAATCTGGTAAGATGGCATGCAGAAATTATAAAATTAAAAATATGAAACCGTAATTTATGAAATAAAGAACAATTATGATCTAAAGGGTATCAAAATTTACAAAAAAAAAAAAAAAAAAAAAGCTTAATATTTATTTGTTTATTTTATTAAACATTTCTTTCAATGTAAGTTGTTTAAGCTGCTTCATTTTTTATGTGATAATACATTCTCTTTAATACTATAAACAGACATAATTTCTTGTTCAGTTACAAAGTTTCGCTGTTCAAGTCCTACAATTGCTGTGTCTACTGACTAATTTGTCAATCGAAATTTTTTCGTTTTCAATAACCTCTGTCACTTTCTTTGCTATCGGAAGCGAATTATAATGATGAGGAATTTGATTTAAGTCATATCAAAGACAGAGTACATCGAGATGAAATACTACATTTAGTAAGGAATTATAAGCCAAATAAAATAAAAACATCTGCCCTAAAGATAAGGATAGTGCTGACAGATCAACTTCCAATTCATTGCGCGCCGCGGCGTTAAAGATAAACAAAGTTTAGATAAAAAAACGTTAAAGTTTAGATAAACAAAGGATATGCCTTTATCCATTTTATGCAGCAATTCCACTTTTTGTTTAATGAACTTTGAAACATACTTTCGTTTTGTAGATCCTTCACATATTAATAAATATATATCAGAAATTCTATTTGACATAATCGAAAAGTTCAAGCTTACTTTTATAAAATTGCTCTAACAGTCTGCAAAAAATAATAAGCCGGATCCAATTCGAAGATTAAGGAACAACGCAATCTGCAACATTAACTGAAATAGATAATTAGAGCTTAGCTTATACCGTCCATTATACATTCAACGCGCACTCGTAAACGTATTTTGCGCATGCGCACAAGCATATTCACAGCTGTAAAGGTCTTACACGCATGCGTCAACGCTACGCATGCGCAGAAAGTTTGTAGCTTTGAGGTCCGGATTATGGGTGTCCGAATTAACGACATTTGACTGTTATTTCACAGAAAATTTTAGTAAAAATATTTCCATCTTTCTTTCCTCCATATTATACATCTATCATTCTGCTAATGGCTTTTAGAATTCTGCATGTGCTGAAATGGGAATATAAAGTACCCTTTTTAAAATCTGTGTTAGATTTTCTAAATAATGGCAGAACTATTAAAAAATCTTTGGAATATTTTGACACAAAATTTGCTGTTTGGGGCATTCATTGCAAGGAGGTTGTGTTTGCAAATATTTTTTAAAATGCTTGGCATAAGTTATGCTCAGCTGCCATATTTCTTGGTGATGATTATGTTAGCCTCAAATTTGATTTCATATGTCTCAAGCAAAAGGCAAAATCATCCAGGAAATTGTTAAGAAGTAATTAATACATGAAGATAATATAACAGAAGTTTTCTATTATGATGACAGTTTTCCTGTCATCTAGTATGGTTTTAAATGTAGAAAATATTGTTACGAGTAATGTAGAATGAAAAGATTTGATTGATAATCTAAATCTTTTCATTATGATCAAATGAGAATTCTTAACATGGCATTTACAGGAGTTTAACAATGAAATTTTGTAACAGCTTAAGGATTTGTGTCTGTCTCTAAAATTAAAGAGGAAGTATTAACACAAAAAACTTAACAGCTTAAGTATCTTATGTGGAAAGAAATGAGATTTCATTATAAATTTTGTTTAAGATCATAAATGTTTTATTATTTCAGAAATAACTGTTTCATATTTCTTATTTTAAAATTTCTACATATCATACTAAACTGATGATCTAAACTATAGAAATGTTTCAGATTGCCAAAATCCTCATTATTTTGGACTTTGTACTGTAAGAATTTTTAAAGCATTAATATTTATTTAAAACAATTTTTTTTTTCTTTCATGGGTTATTAGGAATAACTAGCAACAGAAGGAGAGGTACGAAGGCATTTGTTATAGGGAGTCAAAATTAATTTCTATAAGACACACCTTTTAATATAACAGTTAGCTTTCCATAATAGCCTTCGTAATAATACCATACCAATGAAAATTGTGCATTTAATCAAGTAAAGTACCCTTTTAAAATCTGTACTAGATTTTCTGAATAGTAGCAGAACTATTAAAAAAATCTTTGGAATATTTTAACACAAAATTACTATGTAATTAAATTATCAATTAAAAATCAAATTATTATAGTATTGTATTATGAAAATCTTACTGGAATGTTTTTATTGGCCATGTACATTGTATTGTGGATGAAACATTGCACTAATGCTACTAATGTTTTTTTTTTTTTTTTTTTTTTTTTTTTTGTTTGTTTGATGATAGCAAATCTTGTGTGACAAATTTGGATTGAGAATGTATCATATTTCAAATACCACTCATGTTTCTTTTCCAAAAATGATTTGATTAAATTTAAAACCAGTAATTTTTAAATATTCTTAAGTACTATGTTAATGCAATATGTTCTTATAAAATAAGTGAAAAGAACAAAATTTAACACTTTATATTTATTTATATTTATTTTAGAGCTATTGAGGCATGAAAACTAAATTCCCTACATATTATTATCAGGTTATTTTTATATATTTAACTCTCTTTTGTAATCATGTACCAAATTATTTAATTAAGTTAATTATTACCGAGTTATTTCATAACATGAATAGCAATACAAAAATTGAATTGTACTAGTCTTTTTAAAATTAATAAAAGAAATAATACAAAGCAGTGCTTGCAAATGAAATTTACATTACATAGTATATGCTTAAGTTGTTATTAAAAAATATAAATAATGAGAAAGGTCACAGACACTGTAGAGAAAAATAAAATTACTTACAAGTTGTTCTCTCTTTGATTGAGAGCTCTGTGTTACTGCTCATTTCTTTTATTAAATGTTTTGTTATGTGTAGCCAGTTGCTTTTTCTTTCTCAGTGTTTTCACTTTTGTGCTGTCTTCAAATTGTTATGATATCCTGAAATATTGTAATTAATTTTTTTCCAGCGCATCTTATTGTAAAAAGAATTTTTTATGTTTTCAAGAAATTCATTTTAATTGGAATTTATTTGACCTGAATTTGGTCAATTTTACTTGGTGATTGTAATCCAAGTATCATTTTTTAATTTATTAGTGTCTTTATGTTAGTGTTCAATTTTGTGTATATTTGCACCGATAATTTTATTTAATTTTTACCTCTTGATAATGTGTTTATTTGCACTTGATTCTTTCTACAATTTTGGAGAAAGAAACTTATTGTAATTTTTGTGTTGAATTTTGTGTGCATCTTCTGTAGTATTGAATTTTGTGTACATCTTCTTTCTAATCTCTTGAGAATGTGTTTTTTTGTGTGTGTATTCTACACCTTAGTGAGTTCTAATTCTCTGAAAGAAAAAGTGTAACTATCTGTATTTGTAATTTTTATTAGTAAAGGGTGTAAAACCAGGATTAAGTCACTTAACTGTACCTCATTTTTTTTTTCACCCTTAAGTACATGATTAGTCTCTTTTGCTTCTCGCTTTTCAGTTGGTGAAATTGGCATCCCTGCAGTGTGCAAGGAATATCTGCATCAGTATAGCCTTAATATGGTGCTTTTTTGTAGTCACTTTATTTCCAAATGTTCTGTGATACAAAAACTGAGATTTTCTGAAGCTGTGCCATATTTGTAAACAATAAAGTATTATTTACACTAGTGTGTCATTCTGTTTCAGAATTCTTTCTAACTTCTTGTGCACAGCATGCACATTTAACTGGCTTATATTCTGTTGTTGTAACAGACAATAAGTATGATTTTTCTCACTCCAAACAGTTGATTCATAACAGTTTTCCTCTTTCCTAAAACATATGAAAATTCTATCCTCAAGACAAAATGGATTAATATAAAAAATACCTGATATACTATTACTTGAGTTGTATATTAAATCAGTCATGCTCTTTTATTAGAATTCATGTATATTTGCCAAAAATTTTACTACAAGAAAAAATAAGGAATGTGCATTTACACATCATCTACTCATGTACTGTGTATTACTGGCCAAGGATATGAACATGCCATTTAAATTGTACATTAAATTATTATTGTCTTGTTGGAGGACTTAATAAACTATATGCAGTTATGCTGCTGAAGAAGAAGCTTCCATATTTAAACTTTCAAAATTAGCCCTGCAAATGTTTGAATATTATGCTTATTTTTGCTGCTGTATCTCCTCCAATAATTGTTATTCAGCATGTTATTTTAACTCAAATTACCATCAGATGTTAGTTTTTTAATATATGGGATTGCAAATGATGTAACTTTTACTTACAAAGAGAGAAATTTAGCATGGCTAAAAATTAATTACTTTGTTGTATGTTTTATGTGGCAGAGTAGAAAAATATGTTCACAGTGTCATTTCAGGGTCCCTCCCTGCACTCTCTTTCCTCCATGGGAGAAACAAAAAGTTTATGAGATGTTTTACAGATTTTCTGAAAGTTGAGGCCGTGGCCTGGACTTTTCACTCAGAACATGTGAACAGTATTCCAGAAAGGAAATGTAAAAAATAATCACTGAGTAAAAAGCATATAGTAAGGAAATTAAATATGTAGGATCCAATAAAAGCAAAAAACATCTGTTACTTGGAAGTAAAAATCATTATATAGAAAAAACATCAAACATTAGGAAAATTGAGCATTTTTATGCCATTAATATTTCTCCCACCATGATTCAAAACACAAGTTTAAAAAAAACATGGCATGCAAAATTAAGCAGATACACTACATAAAAAGGTGATAATTAAAATTACAAATATACGATGGTTGGTGCAAAAGTCATGACAACTATTTTTTTCTTGTAGATATGTGAATGGATCACAAAATGTATATGTTTCGCATGGAAGTTCTGCAGGCATAGTGTGTATGCAGAAGCACAGATGGCTCTGTGGTAGCGAGGGCTCTGAAATCAGTCAGTTGGTGAGTAGCATGCAAGATGGAAGTAACCCGTGTTGAACAGCATGCTTACATCAAAATAGCCGTTCTCCCAGGGAGAAATGCGATGGAATGTCACAGTGAATTAGTATTAGCACTTGGGATTAATGCCCTACAATATCGTACAGTAGCATGGTGGGTAGAAAAGTTTCAGCAAGGACGTGTGTCAGCCAGTGATGCGCAACATTCGGGACGACCGGTGAGTGTGCGAACCAACTTAGCACGTGCCGTCATCGAGCACCTCGTGGATGAAGACAGACGATGGACATTACTAGAGTTAAAGAGGGCAAGTGGCATCGAGAAACACACCGTCCACAGGATATTGCATAATGAGCTATCGTCAGAATCCTTCTCCAGTCAAATTGATGGTGATTGTCGCGTATGACGTCAGGGCTGTCCTTGTTTGCCACTTTGTTCCTCATGGCAGAACAGTGACCGCAAAGTACTACAGGGACTTCCTGGTGCGACAGATACGACGTGGCGTTCGGGATAAATGTCCTGATCTTGTGGACAGTGCAATAATTCTGCACAACAATGCAAGACCACATAAAACAGAGTGTGTACGGCAGCTACTCCGACGTTGGGGATGGGAAGAATTGGAGCATGCACCGTACTCTCCTGATCTTTCACCCTGTGGCTTTGATCACATTCCCAAGATTAAGGAACCAATATGTGGTGGGCGGTTTGCAACACGGGAGGACATTGCTAATGCTGTGCGCCAACAGATGACCCAATTCACACATATTGCGGCAAATGCTGAGGCTGATGGTATTCAGCGCCTCCCACATCATCGGCAGCATGTGGTGATAGTAACTGGGGACTACATTTGAAGGTCTTTAGGCCCAGGTTTGTCATGTCAACTTTATGTGTATTGTGTTATCCTTCTTTTGCACGGTGAAGGCTATATTGCTCTGTATACTACAGTAATAAATTCATGTGTTACGATATTTCAGTGCTATTCATTGTCCACACATGTAGTTAAGACCTTGTCCTTTCCTCTGTATATGTTACATTTTGCAACTGGACTAGTATCTTCAAGGAAAAAAAAAAAAAAAATAGTTGCCATGACTTTTGCCCCAACCTACGTAAAAAAATAATAAAATGTGAAATTAGTAAATTATGTATAAATATTCTAATGAAAACAAAACACTAGATGTAGCATTTTGAGTTTTATGTGAAGGCAATCTTAAACCAAAGTTTACCATTTGTAACCTTGTTTTTAAGTGTCGTTTTTTTTTTTTTTTTTTTTTTTTTTATTTAGTTAGTGATTAAGAAATTCAGAGGAATTCCTAATGTGCTAATGAATTATATTAGCCTTCTGAGTGGCACAATTTTTTTTTTATTTCTTTCTTTCATGAAGAATTGTATTTAAACAGCTTCTATTAGCTAAATTTGTGTATTTTTGTAATCTCTGTTTTCATGCACTTCCATTTATTAAGATGATGAAAAAGAAATGATATATGATAAAGAAAATTTAAAATGTATTATAAGCTAATATATGCCAAGGAACAAAAAAACTTCTTGACTGCATAATGGCTATCATGCAATTAGGGGATTAAATATAGAAACTGAGATGTTAAATTGGCAATAAAATATATAACATAATTAAAAAGTTATTTGTGGGCAAAAGAGAAAAATGTTAGTTTTAGAAACATTAAAAATGCAATTAATGGATTGCATGGGACAGTCTTGCATTTCAGTGCAATGTCTCACTTCCATGATAAGTCCTGGAAGGTGTTTCAGATTTTATAAACACAGATGGCAAGAATTTTGTTGTGCAATTCCATATGGGCATGAAATGCATTTGTGATCCAAAATATATTTAATAATTATATAATTATGTTTCCTAGATATATGTTTTAAGGAACTCGGAAGGTGCACATAAAAGATGATTTTTTAAAAAAATATCCCTATTTCTAGATCAACACATTTCATACTAGGGAAACAGTGAAGTTAAATCATCTAAAGAATTTTAAGTGGATCACCATTTGAAAATATTGTAGAATATAAACATGAGGAGGAAAGCTTGACTTATTTTGGCAAAGGACAATCATCTGATAGCAAAATTATTAAATGAAATAATGTATAGAAAATACTTGAAAAATTAAACATTTGTCTGTAGATGAAACAGAAAATGAATAAAATGGAATTAGATTCTTTTTTTTCTGTAATCAGAACAATTTGGTTCCTTTCAAATTTGTAACATTATAGTTCGACCGCCTCATCCACGACCATGAGCGCAAACACCTATGCGCCATTCAGACCCAATTATTCTCAAAATAGGATGGAAGGATGGGGACTTTCTTTCCCTCCAGCATAGCTTTCTCCAGAGAAGAGAAGACCTTTCACGTCGCAGCAAGTAATACCCGCCTTCTTTGGGCAAGTCTATGTGTTTTGGCGGAATGCCAACCAGGGTTGCGCTTGAGACGATTGAACTATGATAACTGAACTCTGCTTACTGAGAACAAACTGCACCAACACATGTTTCAGTAATAAATACAGTGAAGCCTGTCATGATGAACACCTCTAAATGTGGGCAGTATATCCGAGAACATTCATATTATAACCAGTAGTCATGTTCACCAAAGCAACCACGTTCACAGAAGATCAAAATCATTTTGGTAGTTTTTTGCATAATATAAAAATTAAATTTTAAGAATCTAGCTGCTTATACTCTATCCTGTTTTTGACTGCAATTTGAGTAATGGATTTTAAGAGTTTAGTTTCTATTCTGCATTTAAGTAAGAAAATACAATTATAAAATCTATAAATCTGTGATAAGTACTCTTACTCATTATAAGAAATATTAAATGAAGGCAAATAATGTTCTGTTTACATGACAGAACTAACATCCAGTTTTTATCAGTTAAAAAAAAAAAATTCCTTTCTCTAATTCTGGTGAAATTTAGTGCAAAGCTTCAGAGTATGGGATAAAACTGCTTTCATGTTGTGCTAGAAAGCAGGAAACATTTACAATAAAGTAATATATTTTGTATACCTTTGCAAATGCCATTGAAGTGACTGGTTTGTTTATGGAGCAAGTGCAGTCTTGGGGGGGGGATCATTTTTTAGATTTCAGATCAGTTAAAAATGTATTGCATTCTTGAATGGTTTCTGATACAGAAATAATATTCAAATTAAAGTTGTGTTTCTAATCATATGCACATGATACACAATTAATAAGAAATTATGAACAAGTTTAAACTCAATTTAGCTTAAGACATAGTGTGTTCATTATCCCTGCATGAATGTTCTTTAAGTAACACATCGTTCAATAAGTCCTGGGACTAAATAAGAAAACAACATCCATTTCACAAAATTCACGTTTATTCATCAACATAATGACCATCAAGAGCTATGCAATCATTCCAACTCTTTTCTAACTTTTCGATGCCATACTTGTAAAATGATTTGTCCACAAAATAAGCTTCAGTGCAGTGATGACTTCATCATTCGAGCCAGATCTTTTTCCTTGGAGCATCTTTTTGAGATCAGCAAACAGCCAGTAGTCACTGAAGGCTAGATCTAGAGCGTATGGTGGATGGGTAAGCAGAGTGAAGCCCAACTCGTTCAATGTAACCAGTGTTTGCATTGACTTGGCATTGGGTATTGTCTTCATGGAAGTTTTTTTTTTTTTTTTTCTGATTTCGTCCTTCAGGACACACCAATAAATCACTGTAATAGGTGCTATTGATAGATTTTCCTTTTTTAAGGTAGTTAATGTAAATCATACCTTGAGCATCCCAAAACACTGACGCCAGCTAACTGTTGCTTTTTTGGATGTTTCGGACGGCTTTCACCGACTGCATGCCACTCAGCTCCCACTTTGACTCCAGAATGAAATAGTGGCTCCATGTTTCATCTATTGTCACATACCGATGCAGGAAATCCTGTTTATTGTGAATAAACAGTGACAAACAGCTTTGTGAATCGTCGACTCGTTGTTGCTTTTGTTTCACTGTGAGCACACACGTTACCCATTTGGAAAATACTTTCTTCATGCCCAACTTTTTATGTAAAATCGTACACACAATTCCACTTGATATGTATAACATCTCAGCAATCTCACGAACTTTCACTTTGCTGTCATTCATCACGATTTTTCAACACTTGTTTCACATTTTTCGGAGTGACTGCTTCATGTGGCCTACCCGAGCATGCCGCATCATTTGTATCCATGCGACCACGCTTGCAATTAACATACCAATGGCAAATGGTTGTTTACAATGGAGCAGAGTCTGGATAACATTTTTGAAGCCATTGCTGAGCTTGCATGGTATTTTTGCCCATTAAATAACAATGTTTGATCAACACTCGAAATTTTTTTTTTTTTTTTTTTTTTTTTCCCATTTTGTCCACAAATGCACAGGTACTGTTGCTTTCACCACAGTAGCTTCACTGTTTCTGGTCCGAATGCCGTGAAAATTAGACGTGTCATTTGAAGGTTAGTTTTTTCGAACAACATTACTAGCACCATCTGTCGATTAGTCCTGGGACTTATTGAACGATGTGTTAAGCATACATTGGTTTATTATATGGTTTAGTGTACATTCTAAGACAAGAACTCACATTTTCTACTGATGAATTATCATTTTAAAATATATTACGACAAGTATTTCAGAACATTTTGGGAGATGTTCACTCAAAAAACTCCTAACTTAATTTGTTTCATACTGAATTCTATTATAACTTTGTCTTTTTTGTTATCAAACACACATAGGCATTTTCATCAGATGATTCTCATTATGAAATATTTAACTTTTTTAGAATGCTGAAAAACTGCAACCTGAACACTTCAGTGTACAGTACATAACATCAAAAAAGAGCTTCCCGTAATGTTTTTTTTTAATAAAATGTTTGAAACAAATCATATAAGCAGTTTGCTTCTCAATAAAAATAATATCTATGAAACTAAGAAGACTAACAACTGTGAAACTAAATCCATATAATTAGAAATTATATAAAATACTCTTAAATTGACACCCTGGAACTATGTTTAAAACACAAATAAAAGTTTAGGAGTTTTTGCAGATTGCCCTTATGCTTAATCTGTTTGATAGTTTCATCATGTTTGTTATCTTTTATTGGTTTCATCTAGGTTGCTTTACTGAGAATTGTCATTCAGATGTACAGAAGATTGAAAGGAAGGTCTCTTGGAACATGGCTGGGTGGTGATTTCAAGTGCTTCTCTAATTTTTAGATTAAATTTATGCCAATTTTTGGCCTTGTCCCATTGAGTTATTAAGGTTGGTTGCTGGCAAAGTATTTGACTGAAAATGGGTTATTTTCATGGATGAACTGGTTGGCAAAGAGCATGAAGATATCTTTTTTTAAGTTTGGCAATTCTTATTGACAGTTTTCTGAATTTCGAGTCCCTGTGCTTGTATCTTCATTGCGAATCAGGATAGTATATATACCAGAAGTATCTCTTGAGGTGACATTTGTTTTATTTGATCAATAGCAATTTTCAGATGGGATGGGGCTGGGTGTTGGCAAGTTTATGATCAAATCTTTTTAACATAGAGCAGATGCATGGGGTGATACGAGGGCTATCCAGAAAGTAGATTACGTTTTGGAATAAAAAAATAAACAAAGTATAGGAAACAAATTTTATTATATACAGATGAAAGCCACACTCAAATACTACTTTTCTACATAGTCACCATACAAATTAAGGCATTTATCGTAGCGATGTACGAGCTTGGAAATTCCTTCGTCGAAAAATTCGGCCGCCTGCGCCTTCAACCACTTCGTTACCTCTTCTTGCCTTCCATCTTGCACAAAACTTGTGGTAACTAAGCTTTTCGCTGATGATTTCGTGCAACAAACTTCGCGAAATTTGTGGAAAACTCAAAGAAAGTTCCGTTATTGTGAAATTTCGATTTTCACGGACTTTAGCATCGACTTTTTCGAGAAGTTCGGCGGTCGGTCACTATGCTGGGTCTCC